AGAGAGGGAGTCTGTTGAGGGAGTCTGTTGGCACTTGATAAATGTTATAATCTGCATGACTGCAAATGACTCAACATTTGCTCAGTGTTTTGAAGGACTAGGGGGTCTTGGCAGCTGTCCATACTGATGTTTTCTGGAGATTGACTATTGGCAGCTGAAGGTGCCCCAGGGTTTCTGGGTGGCCTGGGTCCTGCCTTTGGAGTGAGTGAGCTTAGGGCCATAGGCGGGACTCCAGAGCCCCGCCTGCTCCCTGCCTACTCCTAGTGGGTCAGCAGAAGCCGGGGTGTGCACCCTGTGGACGGTGGATGGTGAGTGCCTGGTTCCCAGGTTTGAAAGGTTGGGGATAAGGGACCATATGTGGGTGAGGGGAGGTGCCTTGTGAAGCTCTGGGCATCGGGGAAGAAATACTCTGAACTTGAGACGGGAGGGGGGGGGGAGGTAGAGTTACGATCAGGAACCCAGAATGCACAGGCTCCAAAGTGAGCTGTTCCTCATAGAATCTTGCATGTCACTGGGTGCTTTAGAAGCTTTGCCATTCACCTTATCCAACCCCCTCATTTTGGAGTTGAGGAAAAGGAGACTAGGGGAGGGATCAAGCCAGCAGGGCCTCAGGAACCCAGCTGTGTCTCCTACTCCCACGCTCATCCCAGCCCAGCGCTGCCACTCCGAGCTGCCCCAGCTGTTGTCATCTTATCAGGCTTCACCTTCTTCTATGGGAGAGCCCGGATCAGATAAGTCCCACAGTGGGGAACTGAATACTGTGGTGGTGTCAGGTGGGGGCCGGCTCTTCTGTAAACAGCCTCACTGTTATCTTTCAGAGAAGCACTGACCCTTTCCTTAACAGAAGGGGGATAGAGAGGGGAGGAAAGAGAAGAGACATCTGTCACATGGTGAATTTCCTTTCAACATGTGGTTTGACTGTATGTGATGAATGAAAAAATAAGTTGATCTTTTAAAATTCTAGGACAAAAGACACCAGGCCCCTGACCTCCAGAAACCCCACTAGTGAACGCTTTGAGAGGCCTGGGTAGTAGAAAGATTTGGGGTCTTGGTGGTCTGGATCCAGGAGACAGTACTGCTGCCTGCTACCTCTGTGACTGGAAGAAGGTACTGAACTTCTCTAAACTTGAGTGTTGTCAGCTGCATAACGGGAGACTATGTGCATCATAAGACTGTAGAGAGAGTGAAATTAAGGCACTCATTTTGGGTGGTACTAAGTGCTGCTTTACCAGCCACCGTCTCTCTCCAGTTAGTAGCCATGTTAGGTTAGGTTCTCTCCAGTTAGGTTCATGTGATTAGTCATTGTTCCATGCAGATATTAAGCTTCCCTCTACCTCCAGGCTTTTTTTTGTGAGTGGAAATAGCTGTGATTCAGGTTTCAGAGCCAGTGAGTTGCATGGCACATGCTCCAAGGCCTGTTGGGTTGGGAATTGTTTTGCAACTTAGGGGAGCTTGGCTGAGAGGTGGATCTATACACTCTATAGGTAGAAGTCAATTTTCACTACTTTCCTCTGGCAGAAGGCCAGCTGCTAGAGGCCCATTGGGAGCATCTGTTCATGGAGAGGCCCGCCTCTCCCCTCTGGTGCTGATAACACTCTCACATCTTAGTGCTTTGGGGCCTGAGGTTGAGGACGGAGCTCTCCAAAGGGGTGACTCTGTGCTTATGCTTTCCAGATCATAGCTAGAGGTGCAGATGGGGTGCTGAACAAAGCTCCTGGGAGTTTTGAAGCCCATATCTTGTGTTCCAGCTCATGAACTTGAGGTAGGGAGTCAGGGGCCTGTAGGACATTCACACCCAGCCAGTCTGCTGTTTCCCAGGCTTATTGAGTCCCAGCCTAGCCTAGTTCTTCCATCCTGCTCTCTGAGTCTCTCCAAAGCCACTTCCTTCTAGGTGCATCTATGGCTACCCAGACCAGATAGAAGCGTTTTCATGCCTGCACTGCCCTAGCCCAGTGTTGATACCTTGCCTGAGGTGTTGTCTCTCACCTTTTTTTTTTTCCCCTCACCTTTCCACTCTGTTACCGGCGTACTAGGCCTGTAGCTCCTAGAGGACTGTTTATCATTTAGTTAAAATTCCCAAATTGCCATTTATTAAACAGATCAGTGCTGAATAAATGTTTGGAAATAAATGTTGAGTCTATTTGAACCTGATTCCCTTGTACTCAGGAGCAAATAGGCTCAATGATGATTAATGGGCAGTGGAGAGATGGAGCCTATTTGTCTCCAGGAACAGCAGTGGTGTGTTAGAAGGATGCAGAGCTGACCGTGAGGGTCCCCGGACTTCCTAGAATGAAATGATGTGTCCCAGGAGTTGAAGCAAGTCCTTCGGAAGGGTAGGTGTAAGCTGGCCTTTGTGAACCGATGCAGAAATGGTATCAAATCTGTGATCAGAGACCGTACCATGTGGATCTGAATCATACACACTTATCAGTAGTCCAAGGAGGCTTTGGAAATGCGTCAAGTTACAGAAATTGTACCACGCTCTGGAGAATCTCCTGTTTATATCAGGCAGGTGAGAGCTGTGGTTTTCCCCCTGATTATACTATGAACCGTAATCCAGTAATGTATAACTTTGCCACGTAAAAAAAAAAAATTGAAAGTCAGCCTGTGGAATGTTCTTTCCTGCTTGGCCCAAGTGCTTTGGTCGTCCATAAATCACCATTTCCATCACTCAGTCTTGTCAAATTCATTTCAGCACACGTTTATGAAAAACCCACTGTGGACCACAAACAGTCCCTGTGCTGGCCACTGGGAATTCAGAGATAAATTGAGGACCAGAGTCAAAAGAGAGACAGCTTGAAAACAGGTCCAAATGAGTGTGTTGAACACATCAGAAGGACCATGGTGCAATGTGGACACGGGTTAGGGAGAATAATCCCCTCTAGAGGGAAAGTGGGGGTAAGCAGAGCATCCAGGAAGACCTCTGGAAGAGGTATTTGAGTCTTAAAAGAACAGGATGAATGAGGCAGGACATGCCGGGCAGAGACGTGGAGACATGTCGTGGCTTTTGACTCTCATTGTCACTGTGGCTGCCCTCCCACAGTGAGCTGAGGGAATAGAAGCTGGCCCTTGAGGAAGGCCCAGCTCTCCAAGACCAGCCTGCCTTCATAGCTGCACTTTGTTCTGTGGCTTATGTCCAGCCAAGCACAAAACCTGAATTCTTTGTTCTAAGACAATGCATCTCACACTCCAATGTGCCTGTGAATTGCCTGCCATATCTGATGAAGATGCAGGTTATGATTCCTTAGTTCTGAGGTAAGACTGGAAATTCTTCAGTTCTCCCTGATGCCAATGCTGCCAGCCCATAAGAGCACATTTTGAGGTTATACGATATGCTTCTCTCCCAGCTCACTCAGTCCCTCCACCAACAAACACACACACACACACAGCCTCCCCTTCTTTTTCCTCTTCCCTCTGGTACAGATGCCAGATTCCTCTTTCTTAAAGGCTATTTTCATTGGTTATTCCCAGTTCACACCCCACACCCACTGCCTGGAAGTCCTCTTTTATGTCTGAACTCAAGTCTGAACTTTGCAGGCTGGTCTAAACACTAATCTGGCCTACCCATTTCTGCCCAAAGCCCTCGTTATTCCCAACCTGACCTCTTGGCAGTGGATCCCTCCCAGCCCCCTCCTTTGGCTGCGACACGTGAATTTCTGGGCCTTTGCTTAAACCTTTGGAGAAATCCTCTCCTGAGTAGAGTCTTACAGGGGGGAGTCAAGTCTTTGGTCAGGTGGGCCACAGTGTCACAGACACAGAGATACACACCTCAAGAGGGTACCCAGTGATCCTAGCAGATAAAGTCATGCTAGTACTTAGGGAGGAAGGCTCCTATAAGTCAGATCCTGGGATGGCTAGTGGGCCAAATGGAAAGACAGATACTGTAAGTGGTTGTCCGGAAAAGAAGGCTGGATAGGGTATCTGCCACTCTTACAGACGTGGGTTGCTTCAAGGAGCTTGCACCCAGAAGCACAAGGCTTCCCAACTAGAGGAAGTCCTAGTGCAGCCCCTGAGCATGAGCTGAGGATGAGGCTAGATTCCATAGGACCTGCCTGCGCCTCCATTTCAACCGCCAAGCCCCCTGCCTGGCGCAGACATCTGTTGCCCAGCCCTCTGGAACAGCCCCCCCCAGCACCATGCTCTTTTCTTACACAATGCTTACTCTCTCAGACTCTGACCCCGTTCCTTCAGCAGACATCTGTGTAGTTCTGTTCACAGGGGGAAGTGTCAGATTAATAGTAGCCATCTCTATTAAACTATATAGTAAGTGGTAGATGTTTAGAGAACATTTGCTTTGTTGTCAACTATGGTTTTATGTAATGCTCCTTTTTTGTTATTTGCTTGTTTTTACTTCGAGCCTGTTTTATTTGTATAATGAGCAGAAAATAAAGGTCTTCTCAGTTGGGAGAAATGTACTCAGATTGCCTGTCTGCCTTGAGTGAGGCCCTGCTGGGCACTGTTGAGGGCTGGATGAAATAGGAGGACTGGTCTCTCTGTGTCTGAGGGGTTCACAGCGAGGATGAAGTATAGGGTAACAACAAGGGGACTGGCACTCTAAGTAATCTAATTACACGAGAAGCTGCTCCCTCGCCAGGGAGGTGGGAGCTGTGACTCCTGGACTGAAGGCATTGACAGGCATTGATGAGGAGGGAGGGAAGTGCTGGGGGATGCAGCCTGGAGGAACACCATCAGACCAGGAGATGACAGCTTTGGGCATGGGCGAGGGAGCAGCATGCTCCCTTTCTTATCTGGCTCCTGACCTGGAAGTGAGCTCCCTGGGGCAGGAGCCTCCACATGTCTGTCATAACCCCCCAGGCCCCCATGGTGGCAGATCCTTTGATAGCAGCCCTTGTCCAGTCCCATCTCTGATGCTGCAGCTCCCCCTGCCTTGGCCTCTGGCACCCTGATTAGCTGCCCAGCCGGAGCCCTGTCCCGGAGATCAGATTACAGCTGTCCTGTGGGAGCAGTAACATCTTCTTCCTTCCTCTCAATCCCTAGAAATGTCTTTCCTCCAGGATCCCAGTTTCTTCAGCATGGGAATGTGGTCCATTGGTGCGGGGGCCATTGGAGCCGCTGCCTTGGCACTGCTCCTGGCCAACACAGACATGTTTCTGGCCAAGCCCCATAAAGCAGCATTGGAGTATCTGGAGGACATAGACCTGAAAACACTGGAGAAGGGTAAGTGGTGACCCCACCAGCGTCAGTACTTTTCCAGGGCACTGAGATGCAGGCCTACTTATTTTTTTTCTCTCTAAAGTAGTTCCTTCTTTTTATTTTCACTGAGAAGGCAGTGTAGCATTAGGAAAAATTTAATAACACTTTTAAAATTATTGATAATTTAAATTTTAAATTACCATTACCCTAACACAATAATCTTTTTTATTTTTGCACATTCTTTTCCAGGTGTACATGTTGTAATATGTAGTTATGATCTTAGTGTACATGATTTCTTTTACAATTTAGCTTTTTCTTATCAAAAGCATTGTTCATTTTCTCATGTTGTCTCTCTAAATGTAATAATTGTTCCATAATATTTAGTAACACTGCACCATGGTCAACTCAACCAAACCTTCCAGAGTGCATTCTGAGGAATTCAAGGCGCCTGGGGCTTCCCAGGTGGTGCTAGTGGTAAAGAATCCACCTTTTAATGCAGGAGAAGTGAGACGTGGGTTTGATCCCTGGGTTGGGAAGATATCCTGGAGGAGGGCATGACAGCCCAATCTAGCATTCTTGCCTGGAGAATCCCATGGACAGAGAAGCCTGGTGGGCTACAGTCCATAGGGTTGCAAAGAGTCAGACACGACTGAAGTGACTTAGCATGCTCACAGGCATGGATCTTCGAAAACAGGAGCTCCTGAGTCCAATAAGTTTGAAAAATAAAAAAAAAGAAAGAAAAATATTGTGTGTCCAGTTCCATGTTCCTGATGCGAGCTCAGGGCTTTGCTTACTGAAATGAGGTGTCCGGATTGTCACAGGTACAGATGTGGGCAGCCTCGCCTGTGGCACCCGGGGAAGCACAGTCACATTTTAAAATAGACCCGCCTGTCTCCTTCTTCTTGGGGAGCCCACTGGAGTCCCTGCTGGATGGCTGAGAGCCACACGTGATGACTCGGCTGCCTTCCTGTGCTCTTGGCTTGGGCCCGAAGTTCAGGGGGTTTCAGTCATGCCCATAGTGTGGGTTCAGTGGGCATGAGAGTTAGGTGCAAGTGACTGGGTTGTCTCCGGGTTGACCCCTCAAAGGGAGACCATTGATTCTGTTCAGTAAGTGAGGAAGCTTGTGAAGGGAAGGCAGGAACTGTGATTGCAGATTTATGATGTAGGTCCCCTTGGTAAAGGACTAAGAAGCCCTGCAGACGGAGAGATCTGTTTCACTATGTTCAACCCTGAATTTCCCTGTATGATTTGGTTTCAACCCTCTCCCACCTTTATTTTCCTATGTAACATTTCACAGGCATGTGGATTCCTCACCGAAATAATAAGGGATAGTGCTTACTCAGCCCTCACTGACTCTATTATGAGATGCTGCAGTGAGCTCTTTTATATCCATGTTTTAATACTCCCTGTGGCCCAAAGTGGAGCTGCTAGGCATCTGCATTTACAGATAGGGAAAGGAAGGTTCAAAGAGGAGACAGAGCCTGCCTGGGCTCACACCTAGATGCAATTGACTCAGTTTGACCAGAGCCGGGCTTGAGCTGTACCATTCTGCTACCCAAAGCATCTCCTTGTTGGGCATTTTCTGCCCTCTCCTGTGGATAACACTGGAGTTAACATATTGAGGTTAAATTAAAAAAAAAAATTTCAGTTGATTTAATTTCTTCAAATACTTCCTTCAGAGTTGGGATTTTCTTGGCCAAGTGCAAGATCTCATTCAAGTTTTAGCCATATATTATCCCTAAAGCATTGTTACAAGGTCCACTGAGACCAGCAAAGGAATTCACTACTTTTCCAGAAATATTCCAGTTTGGGATATTCAAGTTCACAACTAGATTTTTATGGGGGAGGGGGCTTCTGGTTAGGGAGTAGGACAATTACACTAGATTCATTTTCCTCCAAAAGATGAATATTGCTTGTCTGTGTTTCCTGTTTGATTTTTTTCTCAACGTGTGAAGTACTTTTCCAGGTCCTCTGTTAGGCCTGTTGCTGTTTATGAGGTGCTTAGAGGTAGGGGGCAGGCGAGAGGAAATGATACTGAATTCTCTTTTCTTCTCTTCAGATGCAGTAACTTTTAAAGCAAAGGCACTCTGGGAGAAGAATGGAGCTGTGATTATGGCTGTGCGGAGGCCAGGCTGCTTCCTCTGTCGGGAGGTGAGTGCATTTGAGGACCTGTTCGTAGGAAGGGATGCTAGCAAGTTGGGACCAGGGCATTTCCAGCCAGGATCAACACTGGCCCAGTCTGTTATTTATTCCAGGTTTTTTGTTTTTTTTTTTTTTTTTGGTCTAATTCTGTTTCTCTTCATGTAAGAGCTCACCTTATCCGAGGGTTAGCACCATACTTGACTTTCCTTTGGTAATCCCAAGGCCTGTCAGTCTTGTACTCTGTCCTGTACCAGCTCCAGTTCCCGTGTTCCTGATGCTCAGCGCAGGGCTTTGCTTACTGAAATGAGCTGTCTGGATTGTCACTGGTACAGATGTGGGCAGCCTCACCTATGGTGCAGCTTTGGCACCCAGGGAAGCATGGCCACACTTTTAGACTAGACCCACTGTCTCCTTGGGGAGCCGCTGTCATTCCTGCTCGATGGCTGAGGGCTGGAGGTGGTGACTTCACTGCCTCCCTCAGCCTTGGATCCAAAACTCGGGGATTTCAGTCTTACTGATCATGTGAGTACAGTGGGCATGAGAGCCTGTTCTCCTGCATTTGGTGCATGTGTCTTTCCTACACTCTGGGCATGCAGGAGACGGTGTTGGCTGGCCCACACCGTCCCAGGAGTTCGTGCCCCTGACCTTTCCATTTTTCTGCAGGAGGCTGCAGATTTGTCCTCCCTGAGGTCCAAGTTGGACGAGCTGGGCGTCCCCCTCTATGCAGTGGTAAAGGAGCACATCAAGAATGAAGTTAAGGACTTCCAGCCTTATTTCAAAGGAGAAATCTTCTTGGATGAAGAGGTATGTGTGATGTGAGCCAGTCAGACACAGACTGCTGGGGATGGTGCTGGTGCATGAAGAGTTTGGTGGCTCCAAGCCTGTCTGGCCAGGAGCTTAAGTTGGCCTCCATTTCAGCTGCCCCTAGCCCTCTGAGCAGAGCACGAGTGAAAAAAAAAAAACAAACTTAAAAACTGTCCTTCAGATTTTACTTGAGCCCTTCCTGACTTGTGACCTGGGAATGGGAGCCTTGAAAATAGCTAAAAGCTCCACTGGGTCCCCCACCCTGTAGGGGGGTGCCCAGCACCAACCCCTGTCCCGTAATTCACTGTGGCCCTTATTCTTTCCCCTATACCCCCCTCTGCAGAGTGCAAGACTGTTATCTCTTGGTCGGGCCCAAGAAGCCTGTACGTCTGTAGCAAGAGATTAGAGTCAGAGTTGCAAGCTGCAGGGTTCTGTTTGGTCCTGGGCAGTTTAGAGCACTCTTGGGTAGGAGCAGTGTGTGTGTCAGGTGGAGGATGTGAACCAGCAGAAGGCAGGAAGGCAGGCATACGGGCTACTCACATGGGGTCTGTCCTCCTCAATCCTGCAGAAAAAGTTCTATGGCCCACAGAGACGGAAGATGGTGTTCATGGGATTTGTCCGTCTGGGCGTCTGGCGAAACTTCTTCCGGGCCTGGAATGGAGGCTTTTCTGGAAACCTTGAAGGCGAGGGCTTCATCCTTGGGGGAGTCTTTGTGATGGGACCAGGAAAGCAGGTAAATTCCTAGCGTTCACTTGGGAGTCTGTGAGCACAAGACACCGATCTATCGGTGGGAGGGTGATTTTCCCTAATCGGAGTCTCCCAGCCTTCCTTCCAGAAAGCCAGGGGGCATGAGGACGAGGAAGGGAGGGAAATAGTCCTGTATCGCCCTCCTGCTCTCGGCACCTCACACGGGAGCCCCCTCCCCCGTCATAGTAACATCACAACCTAGTCTGAACCTTGCAGGTGAGTAACTTGTGAGGGGGGTGAGTGAGCGCACCAACGAGGACAGCTCCTCAGTGGCACTGTGGGGGCCTGGACCCAGGTTTTCTGATGTCGAGTTCTGTTTTCCATGTTAGAACAAAAGCATAATCTTTATTCTGTGAAAAATTTACTCCTTTGCAGTGTTCCCTGTCATTTAGGATGAATAGTAAAGTGACGAGAGAAGGAATGGAAACAGACCTCATTGGGGGAGCAGCTGGGAGCTGTGGTGGGAGGGATGCTTTCCACATGGGGTCCTGGTGGCAGGGCACACTTCTCTGTAAACTCTGGCTTGGGTCCCAGCCGTGGGGATCCAAAACAGGGGCCTAGGAGAAGGTGTAGAGAGATGAGGACTCTGTGGGCCAAAGAGGTGGTGCGTAGCTGTCCATGTCAGACTCAGGGCAGTGCCAGCAGAGGCTGAGTAGGTGCAGAGCCAGGACAGGGTTCAGTGGGTGCCAACTCGAGGGCCTGGCAGGAGGACCCAGAGACTCAAGGTCTGACTTCTAAACTTCTAGGCCTGTCTCGCCAACTTTAGGCATGACATTAATACTTGGGCTTATCTGTAAAAAAAAGACAGGGTTGGGAATTCCCTGGCAGTCCAGTGGTTAGAAGTCAGCATTTCCACTGCAGGGGGAACAGGTTCAATCCCTAGTTGGGGAACTTAAGATCCTGCAAGCCTCGTGGCACAGCCAAAAAGACAGGGTTGGTCTTCATGGTGGAGATCCCTACTGACATTGCTAACTGCATACTTTTACCAGGGAGGGAGAAATAAGCTAGTGGGAACAGAAAGCCTTCAATTTAAAAAAACAAAACAAAACTTTTTATTTTGTATTGGGGTGTAGCCGATTAACAAAGTAGAACAGTTGCTCAATCGTATCTGACTCTTTGTGACCACATGGACTCCAGCACACCAGGCCTCTCTGTCCTTCACCATTTCCCAGAGCTTGCTTAAACCATGGCCATTGAGTTGGTGATGCTGTCCAACCATCTCATCCTCTGTCGTCCCCTTCTCCTCCTGCCTTCTATCTTTCCCAGCATCAGGGTGTTTTCCAATGAGTGGGCTCTTTGGATCAGGTGTCCAAAGTATTGGAGCTTCAGCTTCAGCATCAGTCCTTCCAATGAATATTCAGGATTGATTCCCTTTAGGATTGACTGGTTTGATCTCCTCGCATTCCGAGGGATTCTCAAGAGTCTTCAACACCACAGTTCAAAAGTGTGAACAAACAGTGTTGTGATATTAATAGTTTCAGGTGAACAGCAAAAGGATCCAGCCATACATACACATATATACATTATCCTCCAAACTCCCCTTCCATCCAGGCTACCACAGAACATTGAGCAGAGTTCCATATGCTGTACAGTAGGTCCTTGTTGGTTATCCATTTAAAATATATCAGTGTGTACATGTTGATCCCAAACTCCCTAATTATCCCTTCTGCCCATCCCCCCACCTGCACAACCATAAGTTCATTCTCTAAGTCTGTGGGTCTCTTTCTGTTTGGTAAGTTCCTTTGTATCGTTTCTTTTTAAATTCCACATAAGGGATATCAGACAATATTTCTCCAGAAAGCATTCAATTTTAAGCTGTATTTCACGTCTTTTTCTTTTAAACCTTGGTATCTGCAATTGCTTATCTGAGAATCTAGCATGATCTAGTGTCTGGTATAACATAAACCTATTTGCTAACTTTCCAGTAAACGTATCAGTGTGTCTTAGTGACCGGGACTGCCATTTAGTGCCTACCTTGTGCCAGGTGCTCATCTACATGATCTCATGTCTTCTCTGCAGTCAGTCTGGGGTAGTCGGTATTTTTATTCTCATCTACATCTAAGAGAATGGGCCTATGAAATAACTCAGCCAAAGATACACAGCTAGTATGTGGTACAGAGGAAATGAATCTCTCCTGCTGCAGAGACGCCGCCCTTCCCTTGCCCATAGCTCCTCCTTGCAGATGGTTCCCAAAGATCCCTTCCGGTACCCTTGCACTTGGGCAGGCCACTTCCTTAGGATCCTTCAGCCTCTCCCCACTCTAGACTCCTAGGATTCCTTCTCTTCCTATCTCTGCCTCTCAGCCCCCAGGGCAGGGCCCGGCTCCCCTGCCAGCCTCCTCTTGCCTGGCAGTGACTCAGCTGGTGCTCACAGGATCCCTAAGCCTGGCTGGCTCGCTCTGATGTTGCTCAGTGTGTTGTTTGACTTTGCTGGTGCCCTTGGAGCTCCTGCCTTCTTCCTTCCTGGTGGAAGGTTGACCAGGCTGGCCCAGCTTTAGGACTCACCTCCATGTTTCTTGAGAGCAGAGTTTTTGCAGTTCCACTATGCCAAGTTCCACTCAGTAGGGATTTTCTCTGTAATAATCTTTAAAGCATACTTACTTTTAAAATAATGTGTTTTCAACGTAGGAAATCTGAAAATGGAGAAGATGGGGACAGCTCAGTTACCAGGGTCAACTTGTTAGAACAAAGCTGAGCTGAGGGGCCTTTTATTTTTTTTTAGAAAATGATATCTTTCTAAGTTAGATGTTCTTTTTTAACTTAACAGTATATCGTGAACAAACATTTCCTCATGTCATCATATGTTCTTCCTCAGTGTTTCTAATATCTGCAAACTGCTCTGATGAGCAAGTAAATATAATTTAATTTCCTGATCTCCTTCCCAGTAGTGGAAGGACATCACCCTTCCCACAGGGTGGTGGTATTTTTTTTTTTAAGTCTTTATGAATAATGGTACAAAGAACATGTAAAACTGTAAGTGTTTACTTTTCAGATTCAATCTGACTTTAATTTATTAGTGTCAGAGAACTCTCTAACAAGGATTCCTTGATCCTGATCTCAGCATATTTTATTTTTTTACCACTTTAGGGTACTTTAGGGCATACTGTGTCTTAGCGCATTACGCCTCACTAAATGCACTAAGACTCGTAAGTACACTGAAGAGAGGGTCACCCTTTTTAGGTCGTCACGGAGAGCCCATCAAGGTCTGACCTTGGAGTTCCACTTCCATACCATCAGGCTTTTCTGGGCAAGCTCATTCTGTTCTCTTCTGCCTGGAATGTCCTTTTACCTGCACCGCTCCCTTCACCGTCCATGTTGTAGTGTCTGTGAAGCCTTCCTTGATCGCCCTGTTACATTAATCACTCCTGACATCCTGCTGCCAAAGTGCTGCATGTACAGTCCAGATTATTTCTAGGGAGCCTTCCTGATCCACCTTCCCCAAAAGACTGCACTTCTTTTTTTTTTTTTTTTAGTTTAAGAAAAAACTTTATTTTACAGGTGAAAGGTTGGAAAAGTAATAAAAATAACAAGTAACAAAATAGTAAAATGGGATATTTTCTGTGATTGAAAAATATGAAAATGTACAAACTATATTTGTTGGGCAAATCAGTATTTAGTTCTTATTTCCAAACTGAAGTTTATATTATATAATATTTAGAGCAAAAAATCTTGGAAGAAAACACACATTCACAGTATACAAAAGGATTGCTTCCTTAAGGGCAGAGCCCAGCCTGATTTGGATCTCTGTTCCTTGCTGCCCCAAGCATAGGGCTTAATGGACAGCTGGCGCTCAAGAGTCTATCTCATGAGTTTCTCAGAGTAAGGACCGATGTACCCTCTTGTTTCCTTTTAGGGCATTCTTCTCGAGCACCGAGAAAAGGAATTTGGAGACAAAGTAAACCTGACTTCTGTTCTGGAAGCTGCTAGGAAGATCAGACCACAGACTTCAGCCTCAGAGGAAAAATGATTGTGTGAAGCTGCCCAGCTCAGGGATAACAAGGGCTCTCACCTGTGTTTGCAGGATGTGTTGTGGGTCAGCTGCTGTCCCTAAGGCATTATAAACCCATCTATTATGCCACATTCTCAGTATAGACCATTAACATATTTTAATATTGTACTCTGTATAGGTCTAATAAGGCAAAATAAGGTCTAATAAGCCCCCAAACAAGACTGATAAAAATCTAAGACGCTAATAAGGCTTATTTCAGCTAAAACCTGGAAAATCTGAGGCTTAAAGTTGATTGTTACACTTCATCACAAATGTACATGGTGTTTGAGTGCTATTATTTGAAATGATTTTTATTTTCATGTCTTTAAAAATCTTAGAAAAGTTGATGATTGACTTGAAGATTAAAGATACAAGGTTTTTGGCTCATGTTTTCACAGTAGTAATGATTTATTTTATAATGTTAAAGTAATACATAAAAGAATTCATGTGCTTTGGATGACTTGATAAAGGTAAATAATAAAGTGAAATCTGTTTTCTCATTGTCTTCCATTCTAATCTTGGAGATTTGATTTTCTAGAAGAAACAATCTTCTAGAAAGCATGGTTCTGGTTCTAATAAAATTAAGCATCAAAAATTGTCCATATATACACATTTCTGATAAAACTAACAATAAAAATATTTACCATAATAATGGCTGAATTTATTAAATCATTTGTGCCAAAGACACTGAATGTGAAAAATCAGTACTCTGCATGTGTATGGAGTATGGTTGGTAAAGGAGTTCCTCTCGTTCTAATGATCTAAGAGGTTTCCAAATGACCAGAAAAGTTCATCCTGTCGTTCATGTGAGTGATTTTGCTGTCTTTTCTAGAGAAATGAATTGGCATTTAAAATTGGTAGTTGCTTTCTTATTGATGCTCCTTTAGCCCAATTCGGTAACTGAAGAGGAAAAAGGACAGAGACGATGAAATGTAACTTAATTCATTAGTTTGTTACGTTTGAAATGTTGTGTGAGTAAATATGATGTCCACAAGAGCCTGAAGGGGACTCTGCCCTAGGGAGTCTGCTCAGGGCACCAAACCAGCCCAGGAGTAGGAAGGCAGGGACCGGAGTTCAGAGAAGAGGAGTACAGTGGTCCCCCTCTACATGTATATATTCCAAGAACCCCTCTGGATGCCTGAAAACATGGAAGACGCTGAACCCTATGTATATTGTGTTTTTTCCTATACATGCATACCTATTATAAAGTATAAATTAGACAAGAGATTAAAAACAATAATAAAATGGAAAAATTATAACAGTATACTGTGATAAAAGTTATGTGGCTGTGGTCTCAAAATATCTTAATGTACTATACTTAACCTCCTTGTGATGTTGGAGATGGTATGTGCTGAGATGAAGTGAGGTGAATGATATAGGCATTGTAGGGTTAGGTGACCGCTGACCTGACAGAAAGAAGGAGGATCGTCTATCTGCTTCAGGTGATCCTGGATCACTGAGCCACGACAGTGTTGGGGTTTGGATGCCAGAAGCAGATGATGCTAATGGTTGTGGATCCCATGCAGGACAGCGGGGCAGCACAAGATTTCATCATGCTACTCAGAATGGTGTGCGATTTAAACCTTCAGAATTTTTTTTTTTCTGGAATTTTCCATTTAATATTTTCAGAGGGCAGTTCACTTCAGGCAGCTGAAAGGGTGGAAAGCAAAACCATGGATAAGGGGGAACTACTGAATTTACCCAAGGGGCCAAACTGGCCAAGAGGAAGGGAGTTTGTGCTTATCCGGGAAAGCAAGAAATGAAGATGGAGGGTGGACGTAAAGCTGGGAAGGTAGGCATGTTGGCACTGAGCGTACAGTGAGAAGGGGTGGCCAGTTCAGGACTAAGACCAGGACTGGGTCTGACTTCATGTGGTGGCTGTATGGTGTGTGCACTAGCCCATGAGGTGCTGGGCTTCTTGGAGGCAGCGCTCCTCAGTACTTGAAGAGGGTCAACACAGTGACTCACCCCTACTAGCTGTGATCCCTGGGACTCCAGCTAATGATAGGATTTTCCAGATGAGAATTCTTTGGTGCCCAGAAGACACTGGATTCTGAAACAGTTCTCCTACAACCAAAGAAAAGCAGAGCCTGCAAGATGTGGCTGAAATGGATGCTTGGAGAGGAACCTTACTGTGATCTTCATCAGCTGTTTCACTCCTGGGTCCTCACATGCATTGTGCCTTCTCTCCCCAATCAGCATGGCATTATGGAAAGAGCACTGGACTGAGTTATGAGGTGAGCTCAAGTTCTACTTTAACTTAGTGTGACTTTAAGCAAAGCTCTGACCTTCATCTCTTAATGGGCATCACAGAATGCCCATTAATCACAGAATGGGCATAATAATTCCTATCTGTCATTGAGGGCTGTTTATTAGAAGTCATTGAGGGAATGATAAATACGAAATGGTACTTCTCCAACTTTTGTATACATGCAAATCACCTAAAGATCTTGTTAAGTGAAGATGCTTAGAGAAAAGCCAAACACTAGTTAAAGACAGTGTAGATGGAGTTTACTTGGTAACCCCCACAGTTAGGGCAGAGGTTTCAGTACAGAACTGAATTCAGCCAGGCTGTGCACAAAGGTGACTGGAATTTTAAAGGAAAGATGAAGGAGTGGGAGGGGAGATGAGCCGGGATTTGAACAAAGTCAAAGTGGTGGAAAATTACAAACGGCAGGTGGGGGGACTGATCACTGTGATCAGGCTGTCTCTGCTAACTGGCTCATTCAGCAGGTTAGGTTTCCATCCTTCCACAGAGACCAGAAGATGCAGCCCTATCTGTCTTGCTGAGGACATTTCAGAGGGATGCTCCCAGGTCCTTAAGGAAAATACTCCTGGGTTTCAGGAGATAACATACACATCTTAAAGGGACAGAGACAGCATTTACAGTTGTGAGGGTTTTTTTTTTCTTTTTTTCTTTTTTTTAAAGTAAATGCTCTAAGAAAAGAGAGGTCAAAAAAAGCAAAAGGAAGAAAATGGAGTCTGTTTGCTGTCCACCTGAAAACATCACAATGTTGTTAATCATCTATACCCCAATATAAAATGAAAAGTTTAAAAAAATAAAATACACATCAACTGAAAAAAGAAAATGTAGGTCAGAGGCCTATGGTCAGGTGTTTGGCTGAAGCAATGGGTAAATTCTTTTGACAGCCTTGAGCTTCCCCAGGCAAGGACTCAGGGGGCTGGGTCTCCCCAAGAAACAACCTTGAGTGATAAAAACTATGCTAGGGAACATAGTTTTGTTCAGGTCTCCTAATATGGGGGCTGGACAAAATCATTTGTACTGAAAGTTCCACAGTCTCAAGATTGGGGGGGTGGAGCTTGAGTTTTCACACCTCTAACAAGCTCCTGGTGATGTTGATGTTCTCCTGACCCAAGGACCACATTTTGAGAAACAAGAATCTAAAGGACCCTACAGATCAAACTGTTAATATTTGTGCATTTCGGGCTTGAAGCTTCAGCAGCCTTTGACAAGCAGTAGCATGTTCCCTTTTCTTTATTTTATAAACTAATCAAGAATCCATAATAATTTAAACTACCTGCAAAGAGAGAGATTCCTTGCAGGAAAGCTGACGGTCCTCTAAATGTTTGCATGATAGAATTGCCTGAGGAGGTTGGAAAGATTCTGATGCCCTGGCCACACACCCAGGACCATGAAATCAGAATCTCGGGGTGAGACACAGACAAAACATTTCTGAAAGCTCCTGGATTACTCCAATATGCAACCAAGGTTGAGAATCATCTTCAAAGAATTTAGCATCAAGTCTAGAAGGCCAGCGCTCACACCTTAAAAGAGAATTTACCCAGAACCAGACTGCCCCTGGTATAGTCTCTGACGATTTTTGTAAAATAGTTTTTGGATGGCAAGGGTCAGGGATGGCATGGACATGGATGTAGTGGAAGCCTAGGCTGGAACTGAAACTTTAGGGTGGAGAAGATTTGGGTAGGTGGACAGGGTAGTAAGGAGCTCATTTCAGAAATGATCAAGTCTCTGAACCTCAGAGGGAAAGTACATAGGCATGGGAAAATGGGAGAGCCTGCTTTATTTGCCTGGTTCTTCGTTCTCTTCCTCAATACACTGATTTCTCAAAAGCATTACCCTTCTCACATCGATGAGGAAACAGCAAATCAAAGGCCCAAAGGTGGGGATGGGATTGTTATAGTCAAGAAATAAAAAGAGAGCAAGTGTGGCTATAACAACATAAATGAGGGGGCAGAGGTAGATGAGACTGTCTGAGAGAGAAAAAAAACCCTGACTCATTATTGGATCTACTGCTTCGGCTCCAACTCCTGTGCTATTTGCCTGTGCTTAGTCACGCTGGTGCTGCACCTTTGTGAACGAGTGTTGCCTATCGCCTGAAAAACACAGAATAGTCCAATCTCAAGGCTCTGACTTTTAAAAAGTTGAAGAACAGGAAATAGCCATCTTCTTGGAGGTTTACAGGAACTCTGTAACCACACCCATGTGGACTGTGGCAATCATAAAGGATCCCTGCATCAAAAAGTATGCAACAACCAGCCACCTGCCTCTCCTTTTAGAAGCCCCAAATTCTAACTCAGGTAATACGGTTTTCAGGACACTAGTCCACCATCTTCTCGGTCTGCTGGCTTTCTGAACAAAGTCGCTATTCCTTGCCCCAACAATCCCTCTCTCGATTTATTGGCCTGGCATGAGGCAAGCAGTATGACCTTGGCCTTTGTAACAAGAAGAGAAGGTGGTGAGATAAATGGTGGAAATGTATACCATGTTCTGGCAGACCATGGTAAAACTTCTGAATTTTACTGAGAGAGATGGGAATCTATTGGAGGGTTTTGAGAAGAGGAATGATCTGACTTACATTATTCTGATTGTGTTGCAATGATCACTTATAGAAGATGAGCCATGGAGACCACTTAGGATGCTACAGCAATAATCCAGGCAAAAGATAATGATCACTGGAAGCTGGTGGTAGCAGTAGAGGTGGTGAGAAATTGTCAGA